AAAAAACAAAAAACAAAAAAAAAAAAAAAAACAAAAAAAAAGAAAAAAAAGAAAAGAATTTGTATCTTAGTACATAAGAAGGAACCAAACTGAAGACATTTTGAATAAAACTTCCATCTTGACTAGGGGTCAAGCAGAGTTTAAGTTCCCAAGATCTCCCCAGACCTCCCTTGGTAACTGTCATCCTGGTTGGCAAGGTAAGACATGAATGGTGAGCAACCCACCCCGCCTTACTTGAGTGAACCAACCAATAAGAATAAGATAAGTGTACTACAGAACAATGTTCCTAGGGAAGTCTCTAATCTTTGAATCCCAATTGGTGAAAAAGGTAACCATAACTTGGCACAGGTGTACTATTGTCCCTGACCGGTCAATTTCTGCCATGCTGCCCGATCCAATAAAATCTTGCTTTGCATAACCTCCTGCGTCTGCTCAGATTGTTCTGGCGCCTCAGTCCCACAACAGTCAACACATTTCAAAATCAAGAAATTAAATAGTTGGGGAAATAGTTCTGTTGAGAGACTGCTTGCCTTTGCGCACAAAGTCCTGGGTTTGAATCCCAGCACTGTATAAACCAGGCCTGCTGGCATCTACCTGTAATCCCAGCACTCAGGGAGACGGGATTAGGCTGGTCAGCCTCATCTATGTAGTAAATTCAAGGCCAGCCTGGATGACATGAAACCCTGCCAAGGAAGGAGGGAAGAAGGGGACGAGGGATGGAGGGAGGAAGGAAGGGAGGAAACATTTCCCCCAGAACGTATTTTGAGGAAAAATGTATTGCTTATTGTCTCTTGTCCGATACAAGTGACAATAAAGTACCAATCGTATTACCAGCTGTCCTTCAGTCTCCCATGTGAAGGGAGTTAAGGCTCAACAGACCAAGCTTACATTATTGAGGCGCTTACTTGGGCTGAACTTTCATCATCTATTGGGAACTGGTATATCTGGATGCCGTGGCTGGTCAGCTCCCTCATTATGTTACTCTTGAATCTCTGGAGGTCGCTTTTGGAAAGCGAGTCGGCTTTGGCAATCAGTGGTATGATATTCACCTGGTAGGAAGGAAGGTGGGTCAGATCTTACTGTTTTTCAGTCTAAACCTTACACCCAGAAAAAGAAAATTTGTGCCCATGGCTTGTTGTTGCTGGTGTTGTTCATGACAGGGTCTTTGCTGGCATTCGGGGAAGAGGGCTGATGTTACCCACAGGTGTGCCCCATTTTGCTCAGCCACAGAGAACTCTTGTTTTGGGGGAGTGCTGAGGATTAAAACCTCAAGCCTTGGATGTTACAGATAAATGTCGTACCCCTGAGCTACATCTTGAGCCCTCATCTTTTATCAGAACTCAGGTTTAGAAGCCTTGACCCTTGTTCCTGTTCTAAAAATCCCACGCCCCCAATGCCTCTGTAATCAACATAATTTAAGCAGTAGGATTCAGTAGACCGATTACTTATCAAACTGGCTGAAAACATTGGGAGAGAGTTTTTCTCCCAGCCATCATTCCTGTAATCGATTCTCCATAAATGCATATTAACCAATGTTCCTCTTTCATTCACCCTTGTCCTACCCAATTCATAGCTGTTTAAGCCTATAATAAAGTATGGATGAATAAATATCAGCTTTAAGTCAGTTGCTTTTAATTTAGAATTGTCAAATCACACTTTTTTCAAATCCTTGGGCAAATCTCATGTTTTTGCAAACACTTAGGCTAAGCTGGGGGAGGATGTAGTAAATGACTAGAAAATTTAATCAAATGAACAAAATTTAATCTAAACTTGTGATATATAGAGATATATACATATATACACACACACACATATATATACCTATTTAGTTGCCCCTCTATGACAACACATGCACATGATAAGTTAAAGCAGTGGAGAAATGTATAAGGTTAGAAAGGAAAGCATTCTGGCAGGAGCTATGGTCTTGGGGAGAATCTGAGGAACTACACCAGTTTAGAATGTGTCTTATGCAACTATATTATAAATGGTATTTTTGAGATTAAAAACTGAACGGTCTCCAAGAAGCGGATGAAAGCTTTAAATTCAAAGTGTTAAAGAGGCTGAGAAAACTTGAGGTAACACCCAGCATCCTCGTGAATATAATGAACCTAGACTTTAGCAAATGCTTCCAAAAAGCAATGGTCCCTCTGAGAACAGGCTGAGTACATTGGTGCTGAGGCACAGGGCCATGTATGCCTTTAAGGACCTGTCCATTCCTGTGGTACATTCTAGATAAGAGGGAAAGTCGAGAACATCCTTGTGGCTGTACATAACATGTTGTGGGCATGAGCCTAGAGTCTCTCCACGCCCCAACCACAGGATGCCCTCTCCCTCACAAGAACTGTACCACCAGTTCTCAAGTCTAGAGCAAGCTTACCTTGTCCTTATACTAGAGACTCACAAAAACTTGAAGATTTTTCTAAAACCATGGGGAGAAGTCTGTCACTGGGCAGTGGTGGCACACGCCTTTAGACCCAGCACTCCAGAGGCAGAGGCAGGTGGGTCTCTGTAAGTTTGAGGCCAGCCTGGTCTACAAAGTGAGTTCCAGGACAGGCTCCAAA